GAAAGCCGTTATGTCCTTTTATTTGGTGTGATAGATGACTGGGTATCTCTCTATTTGCTGACTTCAGCAAAGAATAAAGGATGAGCTTATTTTGCTGTGACGTTCTCACGTTTCATGCAATCTGCCGTAATTGTTCTTTTTTTTTCTTTTTTCTTTTTTTTTTTTTTTGCAGAGGTAGAAGCTTTCAGAAAGCCTTTTGGGTAAAAGTGGGAAAACCCTTTTGAAAGCCGTTATGTCCTTTTATTTGGTGTGATAGATGACTGGGTATCTCTCTATTTGCTGACTTCAGCAAAGAATAAAGGATGAGCTTATTTTGCAAGGACCAGCTCCGTCCCATGGAACGGATCCATCTGTTAAGCTCTAGCAGCCACCTTCTGTCAAAACTGTTTGTAAAGCAATAACCATAATCAGGTTATGAGGTCCCTTGGTTGGGGGAAAAAGTATTATCAAGACTTGGCACAGCACATGAAAAGCAACACGTAAAGGTTCTAGGTTTTAAGCAAACATCTGACTATGCTATTTTTAACTACACCGGAACGCATCATCATAAGTTTGGGGGTTTGGAGTTGTCAAGAAAACCAGCATTCCAACAATTTGGCCTGTGCAAGTCTTTGAAAGGGAGTGTAGTGTTAGTGTTAATATCCCGTATAAGCAGAGGCAGAATTATATGTAACTTTGGTTTGACTGAAAATAAATACCATGGACTACAATTGCTATAATCTTTGCTTTCAGTGTAAAAACTCGGCTAGATCACTTTAAAATCAATATGAAATTAATTTTTGGCTTTACTAGACCTTTTATGTTTGGTTCCTACTTTTTGTTTTTTTGTTTTTGTTTTTTTTTTCATTATAACTTAAGACTATAAAAAATAGTACACGACAAAGATTAAGACCATACAAGACATCTTCCAACAACATGTATTCACCACTGAAAATAAGTGACTGAATGGGGAAAACAAAAACACAATGTACTATCTATAACAATATGCAATCTGCATTTGCATCAAGTACAATAATCGTTTTGGTCAGTGATCCACATTTGTTGCTTTCTAGCATCTCATAACTTCCACTGCGGACTTTGTCCTCACCTCTGTCTTTGAAGGAAAGCAAATCTTCATTGCGTTTAGATGGACTTTCGGCCTCAGAAGAGTACTCTGTGACTGCATTAAATTTTTAGTTGTGGTATTGTCATCTTTGTTTCTTTGTTTAGGGCTAAAATGAAAAGATCCCAGAGGTCATCAGAAAACAGCAGGTAGTTCATGGAAAAGGTTCCTTTGTACTAATTGAAGTTACAGAAGGCTGACCAAAGCGTGTGGCTGCTTCTGTCCTTGAGCTCTTGGCCATGGTTCGAGTTGGCTTTGGTTTGCAGCTGTAGCCTTTGACTGTGTTTGCAGGTAGACAAAGCTTTATCACAAGGAGGTAAAGAGTACGGGTGTAAGCTCTATGCAGATATGCAAATGTTTCTATGGTGCTTGCACAGACAATGTTAGCTTCGGATTGCACTTTACATCTTAACACTAACAGCACAGACTGGAAGCCTAAGGTTTTAGATGGTTGCAACAGTCTAATTACTGTGTTTGTAATAACTAACTTATGTCATTTACAGTTGGTGGCACCAACATAAAAAACTAATGTTCTGTTGTTTAAAATTCAGCTAGATACAAGCAGTGACACTAATTTCTGATACTACTCCTGTGCAAATTAAAAACAATAGCAACAAGTTGAACTTGACCAGCAATTGTTTCTAACATTACGACTACTGAATGCTGGGAAAATTCACATTAATGAAACTAACACTATTTTTGGCAGTATATGAGGCGCGTTTGCTTTCTACAGGACATGTATCCTCATATTCAGTAATTTCATGAACCCTTAAGAGCCACATTTTTTAAATGGGCAAAGCCATTATAGAAATAACAGTTTGTTTTTTTTCCAAGAAAATCAGTTTTTGTCTTTTTTTTTCTTAAAAAAAAAAGAGGGAGAGGGAAAGGGGAGAGAGAGTAATAGGGAGATAGAGAGAGAGAAAAAACAAGCAATTTGCCTGTTGGTACTGGATCCCAAAGGGCTGGCTTGGTAAGTTCCTTTAGGGCTGTCTCCGTGATCCATGCTTAATAAATAGTCACAGTAAAAAGTTGTCAAATATTCATGGTTGTGGAGTGGTCATGAAGGTCAGTGATATGTCCCTTCATTCTGAGGTTTCACGAGTCAGTTTTCATTCCAGGTCTTCGGATAAAGGCTCTTCTTCAATCTCTCTATCGTCTTCTAACTCTGGACTGTGGTTCGCTGTGGTCACTAAGGACATTGGGCAGTCTTCATCCTCCGCAATCCCAGGCTCTTCCTTGACGTGGATTGAGTGTCTGAAAAACATGGAGATGCATCAAAGTTTGATGGCAAGGCTAACCCAGTTTGACCAACCTTGGATGGAGGAGGCCAACTGACAGAAGGCAAGAAAACACAGCATTGCTTTCCTCACAGTAACGTCTGGTTGCATGAGCTGGTTA